TTCGTACGTAAAGTAACGTACCTACCAAACTAACGTAGTAGTACCACCAACAACACTTACGTCTTCGGGTAACGGACGTCGTCACTACCACTTCTACTGCATATTAGCTCTCTCTCTCTCTCTCTCTCTCTCTCTCTCTCTAACTGAAGCTAGGCAGGAATCCTACATGTGCACTACTCTGAAGGAGAACAGATACATTCTAATCTATTTGCATGGACAAAGACACATGTGTCAGTGTCAGACACAGGTCTGGGGCTGGAATTGCTCATTCCATGAAAAAGAGGACTCAGCAACACAGCTGAATCCATACACGTTTTCGATGTTCATGTGTTTCTCCTCAAACCTAAAAGAATATCAAGTCCCTCGATTGTTGTGCTCAATGGATAGTGAACAAGAAGAAGAATCCTGAAGAATACCTGTAGGTATGTGTGTCAATATGTGTCTGACACCGTTACAATACCTAAACTGAAAAATATGTAAAACACAAATCCTATAGCAATCCAATATCCGTACTTGTTCTTGGGTATGAAACCCGAGCAGGGCCCACGCCCTTTTCACCTGATTCGACTCGCCGAATCACAAGAAGACAAAGTCAAGCCCATAAAAAAGTTATTGCAATAACTTTGGGAGCCAATGAGACTGGGACGGTTCCCAAGGTTTATGAACAGGATCTGGCACCCTGCAGGCACTTAGCAGAACATTGGGTTTTTAAACACTGATCCAAACAAATTAAAGATAGAAAAACAGTCTATATGGGGAACAATTGTATGTGTTCCTCATTAATTTGTATTTGTAAACTTGGCTTGGCCAGAAACTGCTGAGAAAAGAATGAATTCATTCGACTGTAAAATGAGGGAATGTCCCTGTTACTCAACTATATGAGATAAATTACGCAAGTGATCTGATTGGCATACTTACAACCAATAGCAAAAGTATATGAAGAGTTGAAGACAAAAAGATAAAAGTACAATTAAGGGCAACTAAAAACACAAAATATGGTGACTCTAACTTGGTTATCTTTGTCATATTTGCAAAGTTGAATATTATAAGGATAACTTCATATAATTGTCATTTTCCACCTATCAACAGAAGGAAGAAATTTAACAAAAATAATTCCCAATATAAGAAATTTAATTTCTTTAGTTTGCAGAAAAAATCTTATGATATATGCAACTCCTTATTTGAATAATTCAAGCAACTAATTATTGAATCTCACTAGAGATACCTTCCTTCCCAACATCCTTCTGTGACCTCCAACATCTTTCGATATGTTTCTGACTGCAATAAAATCTAAGTTAGGAGATCTGTGAAAAACAAGAAGATTGGAGACAAGCCTTCTAACTGAATTTTTATTACCTGCTTGTCTCTTTTGGGACCGTTAAATAACTCAGGATCAGCAGACAAGTCCAGAAACTGAATAGTATCTCCTGCACCACCACCATTTAAGAGAAACAATTTATTCATGACAAATGTCAAGTTCAGTATTTGAAAAATGGAACCGATCTCGGACACCGGCCAAGGGCCAGTTCTGAGTAACCGCTAAACAAGCCGGTTGCACCGGCCTAACCAGGCAAGTCCCGAGCTGTCAAAAAAGTATTAAAAAATAAGAAAACAAATCTAAAAAAATGAAAACTATATTTAAAGTATGATTAAACAAAGAAATTCCAAATGAAGTTGAAAATTAGTGGAAAAAATGAAATGTAAAATAATCGATCTGTGCCCAAGGGAATTTTTTAAATTTTTTAAAAAAGACGGGAAAATGTAAAAATAAAGTATTCATGGCCAAAACACTCTCCAATCTTTGCCAAAATGATAATAAAGAAATAAATAAAAAATTCAAAAATGCGTTACAAAAAATCCCTTATTTTTGGGATTTTATATTAAAAAATCCGGCCGGATCACCAAGAATACCATCTTGTATGTTTTTGGTTGTCACAAGAATAGGAAGGGGCATGAAATGGAGGAACAAGATAACTTTAGCAAATCCAGAAGCTAGAATCCATAAAAAAGACTGTGGGCATGCATCTACTCATTCAAATTTAAAAATATACAGAATTCTAACCAATATGTGTAAACATTATAGAGGTGTCTCTCGCTCATAGTGATTGCGAAGGCTGCAAAAGCTATAGTCGCTTAAAACTGAGGAGAAACAACCTAAAACATCCTCGAGTTTTGAATCATCCGACAGAAGATGAAATTTACAATATTATGTTTGAGAATATCAGAAAATAATAAAATTAAAAGTTCAGCATACCAGCATTGATTCGAGAAAGTGTGAAGTCGATTATAGATACTGAGAGCCCAAAAGTCTTGGCCCACATTTTTCTTCCTTGAAGGCTGAATTCTAATGTTGAAGTTTCATCTCGAGATAAAAGGACGTTTCCCCTGCATCCAGATTTATATATCAATCAGTGACTTAGCAAAGCTAGATGACACTTTGAACAACACGTTTACAATTTTGAACAAACCCAATGGAAAATTATGATAGATAAATAGACCAATGCAAATCACGATGCTCAAACTCGCAAGCCACTTCAGCTATTGCTAAGGAAGCTGTAACCTGCGTTCAAAAAGAATGAGGAAAAATTAGCCTGCTCATGCACAGTGAAAAAACAATACATTAAAAAGTAACACAGTAATGGTCGTTAGTCATTACTTGTATCAGCAAACTCTGTACTTCTTCAAAACTTCTAAGCACAAAGCTTTCAAGATCTTGACCCCCATGAGCTAGAACAAAGACAACATAGCACTGAAACCACTTGGGTTAGTTCTGAAAATAATAATAAGGAAGTTTGAAAAGCATTTGATAAAATAATTTTTCTCCACCAGTCCAATGATCATATAAAACTGGAGACAACCTGCTTAGATCAACTGAATTGAAATTACCTGTTTTCCCGGAAAAGCCGTTGGAGGGTCATTTTCTGATACATGATTCATATCCCAATCTTCCCATGCACCTATCAAAGTAGCATTGTAGGCACCTTGGCACACCCGTATCCTTTAAACCATAAATTAAGTCGTTCAAATATGGGCATGATAATGAAGCCTTTGAAGGCAGGGCACTATGGCTAACAATGAAATGGTGAAGCAATTTCATGTAAAAAATTTCATACTCTTTGGTTTCTATAAAATTGCGACATGATGTGTCGCCTCCCCGTAGACTATTAATAATGAGGGAGAGAAAAGCCTCAGCAAACAGTTCTGCAGATCCCTGATGAAGTAAGGATGTAAGTGTCATCAAAAAAATTATTGAAGTCCTTGACACAAAAACTTGTAATATAACTAAAATGGGTAGTATTTACCTTTTGTACTTCTCCATTCACTTGGAGATCACCACCGAAAGGTACTATTTTGAGGACACTACCACCACACTTGAAAGCTTCTCCATACGTGCCTTCACCAATCTTAATTACATCATTTTTATTTAAACTGTCATAAGAAAGATCCATTTTCATCAGATTCTTCAAGCATTTTAAAAGTGAAACCTCAAATATATTGAAACTAAGGTGAATTTTGTGAAGGGGAAATGAGAAACGCAAAGATAGGGAAAATGAAGAGAAGAGGATAAGGGGTAAAATAATCTTGAAAAAATTGATGACTCACGAACAATGAGCTTTTAATTCAAATTGTGGGCATCCACAGTCAAATGCAAGTGCCACAGCCACTGTCTCAACGTTTCCCAAAAAGATAAAAAGTCATCGTAACATGATGCTTAGTGGTCGTTTATCTTGAAAGTTGAAAGGACTTACCTGTATTTGGAAATCACCTCTGACAAACTTTGAGGAGAAGACTGCCCACAAAGCTTCAGCAAATTGGTAAATGAATTAATCTCAGAAGCTTTTGTTGGTTCCACAGGTACCAGAGCCAGTTCTTCATCAGGCATTTCGGACTGTTTATAACAGGAATCAGGTTTTGGGCTCTCAGCCTCATTATCATGAAGTTGAATTTCATCAATAGCCCTCGCAATCCAACTCAAGCGTAAACCTTCAACAATGCTGAGCATAGAGGTTTCACCATTGCCCTTCAAACCAAATTGGGGCAACTCAGAGTTTCTTTGCCAACGACCTCTCACTTTGGGGGATGCACTTTCCTCATCCAGTGTGAAGGCATCAACCTCTTCAAAGTATGAAACCCACTTCTTTACATAGTCCGGAGAAGGTTGTACCATTTTGTTCTGCAACAACTAATGAGATCCATTAGGAATCAAAGGTAGCAACCCAATAATCTAAACAAATAATGAACAAAAGGAAAATTAAACTCGCAATACACAGTAGTAAATAAATCACCAACACGAGCATGAAGTTTGCAGGTGATAATAGTGAACTGACCTGACTTGGGAAATTAGTTCTGAATTCGAAAAATTGGATAGTCAACACAACTTGTTATGGAGCCATTCTCTAAAGAACTCTGATTTTCAAAATGTTGTTGTTTGTGTGTGTGTGTGTGTATGGGTGTGCGTGAGTGACCTACTGTTTCCAGAGATTAATGTGGCCTAATGGCAAGAGCTTCAGTTACCATTGTTCAAAAGCATGTGATTTAAACTTGATTTTAAATCATCATGTGAGTTAAAGTAGAGATAATGAAAATTTATTAAAACACACCAAAAATAACTACTACTCTAACTTATGATCAAAAGAAATGGCCAAGATATGAAAAGTTCAACTATTGGGTGCTTTTAAATAAATTTGCCTTACATAATAAAAAAAAATCTGCGAAATTAAAGGGGAAAGAACAAAGGTAGTCAAAACACGGTTACTTATGGTTAATCATGGAAAATGAGGAGTGCATTGACATTTATGAAAAAATTAAACGCAGGCAGTTGGAGATATGCAGCAGTCTGCAAATAAGGAAAATAATAACTGTGTTGACCAGATAACCAGAAGACTGCAAGACCCTGTTTCTTAAAATTTCCCATTGAAAATGTGAGACCATTGTCCTTTGAAAATGAGAAATATCTCAGTATAGAGACAAGCAAACACATTGTTCATTTCTTCAAACGAGACTGACAAAAGAAGAATGGAAGCTAGTGATCATAAAGAGAAATAATGCAAAGGAGAATCAAAAGGACCTCTGAAATATAGCTAAGACAGTCAATCTTTTCCTTGTGTATCACATAATAACATGAGTCGTAAAATCATTCACATTTAATGGTATGAAAATACCCCGCCCCCTGCCGTCCCCAAAAATATAAAAAAGAAAAAGAAAAATTATAACGGACATTTTCTAGGTTTTCAGCAAAGTGGTAAGCCAAAAACAGAGGTAAATGAAGTGTACATTACGAACTGCTGGTCTTGATTTCTTCTTTCCTTCCTCTCTGATGGGTTGAACCCCTACGTTTGCAACCCCAGACACAACCATACTCTTCCTCCCTCTAACGATGCACATATTAAAAAAATAAATCAAAGTTAGCATTCAAGAGAACAAAAAACATGCCCACTCGCACCAACACAAGTAAAATAAAACATACGAATCTTCAAATTATTGATAGCTTGATACAATAAAAGCAAACCATATGAAAAAATAAATCAGTTAAATTTGTAATATAATGTAGCTGTATAATGAAATCAAGCACAATTGTTTTCAATAAATTATCAAACAAATTGTGATAAATTTTCAAAACATTGAAATATTCTTCAGTTGAAAATGAATAAATATAGGAGAAATTACTGACCTTGCGCATAGAGAACGGTTGATCCAGCTATTCCTCCAACTATCCATCCTTTTCACTGGGTTTTTCTCATTGATTTGGGAAATTAGGGCATTTGCCCTAGGACATTGGCTGATATTCGCAGGTTTTCTTCTTCTATAAACAACATTTATTTCTTTAGCTTCTCTCTCTTCAGTGACCATTACCTCTGACCAAATGTCACCTCCTTCGACAAGGAAAACCATAAATAGAGTGAGAAAATCAGTACGCGTAAAGAGAATATGAAATGATTATATAATTCTAGTGTTTCATGACAAAGAGAAGAGGATTGGTGACGTGAAGCTTCAATAATCTATGAGAACGGGAGTGACGAAACTTAGATTTTCATGAAGTTCAAGGAAATGCTATGGCAATTCTGTTGCAGGAGGCATAAGCCATTGTGCAAAGCAAAGGACGAAAGAAACAAAACACAGATAATACAAAGCCTGGAGAATTGTATTTTGATACCTGATGTAGAAGCCATTGTATATAGCAATTCCCAAAAACTCTCTTTCTCTCTCTAGGAAAATTGAGGAGAGAGATTCACATGCCTCTCCTTCTTTTCACTCTCTCTCTCACTGGGGAAATAGGGCAAAATAATTTTTGCCTATTTGAATATGGAAATGGGCGGGAAATATTAAGTTTCGTCGTGCCAGTTGTTTAGAGACCGAAATTTTTAATCTAAAGACCGATTTAACTTACACGCGTAAATAGACCGATTTTTTGTATTTGATGTGTTGGTAGTTTTGTCAAATAAGCGGTTTATCGTTTATACATGGAAATCACAACGCACAATTATTTTTACTCATTAGATGTCAATTTAGATGGCTCGAGGTAGGTCAGAAAGATCAATATTTTTTTTTTTGAAACTCTATGTCTATTTAATGCATTATTGCAACCACTCAATTTGAAATTTAATGAACAATAATGATCATGAACTCTATGTACAAAAGATAAATTGTCTCTTTGTAAATAACTCCTACTATCAAATTCATCTTGGAGGCTCTCTTTTGGTTTGACAATTTGATTTTTGTATTTGAGCACTTGACAAGAACAATAAAATTTGAAATTTGCATATTTAAGATAAAGGAAAATAGTTCGATAGGGCTACAGTTTATTAAAATAAGTAAAACCTCGTCTCATAACTCATTGAAATTTGCAATTTGAGTATTGAAAAGCCTTTACATCGATAATATTGGCTTTAATATCATGGTTGTGGGAAAAATTTAGGATTCCAAGCTCTAAAAATAGTGTATATTGTAACAAATTATCTAGACCGTATATTTCGCCCTAAAATTAATTGTGCATGGATCTCCAAGATCTTTAATATTTTTTTAGTTTCAAAATTCATTATCGATGTTGGAAATTGATTTTAAAACCATCATGGAGATTTTCATTGCCGAAAGTTCTTTCTGAAGGATTTGAGGTGAGGCTTTATTTTATTTTCATAGAGCCTAGTCCCTATAAAAACCTCATCCTAAGATAAAATTCAGACAAAGTACGAAATTACTAAAGAAATTTATATGTATATCTTATTTAAATATTGCAAAAGTCCTCTTTAATTTTTGTATATTACATGAATATCCTTTTTGCTCATTATTTTTTTATTCCAAGTTTACCCCAGCCATTAGAGATTGAATGTTTGAAGTCACAAATGACTTCATATCTTCAATATCCATAGTCTTTTTCTTAAGTTATTTTAGGAAAAAATAAGTAATCACCTCGAAGGATGAAATTTGGAGTCACTATTGACTACGGTTTTTTAGTATTTGAAGTTACATTATGATTAAGATTTCCATGCAACTTTTTAATAGTGACTTTAGATTTTCAATATCCGAAATAAAAAATCAATTAAAAAAAAATGACTGATAGATTCGGATTATCAATCTCCAAAGTGAGGGTCAATTTGAAAAGAAAAAAAAAAAAAACACACAAAAAGGATATATTCATTATATACAAAAATTTGAGGGGTTTTTTATTACAATTTTTACATATGATATACGGATAAATTCCGCAAATTAGTGCCAAATAAGTTTTTTGTTTTCAAAACCCTAATTAGTGTCATTAGCATAAGATTGTTGCACATTGGCGTACATATATTTCAATAGGTGGATCACCTTTGGAATGTTTCCAACTTCCTATATAGGAATTGTTGAATTTAACAAGGGTGAGGTTTGTACGAGGTTGTAATCTTAAACAATCAAATTAAAATGCACCTCCAAACGTTGTCACGAGGATACAATTTTGGTGATGAAATTCTTAGAATGGTGCAAGATCTATTTTTATCTCTAATTATCAGAATTGAATTCCATAAATAGCTCAAATTAAGTAGATCTATGAATGCATGAATATATTATAATTTGATGGTTCAAATAATATATCGCAGTATGTATTATCTTTAGGGCTAGAAATTTATTTTTTCCTTCATATTTATACTGCTCATTGTCGATACGATAAATTAAATGTATTTCCAACATCAAAACAACCTTTTTTTTTAAGGATTTATACTTTAATTCTGACATTTTAAAGGGTCACCCTCATATAAAATTTCCCCATTTAACAATGAAAGACATACTTACCATAGGTCTGAAAATCTGAAAGTAAATGTGGTTTATTGTTGTTGTATTCATGTTCTACTCTAAAAAAAATTATACATAGATGCAATATTATTTGCAGAAAACAAAAGGTTGTAATGATCTACAAAGTTTACCTTATTTGAATGGTACAAATTTGTTCTAAAGTGGGATAAAAGGATTAGACCGACCTTACTTCTACTTTTTGTCCATTTGTTGGGGTACATGAGGGTGAAAGGGTCTCATCTCATCCCCAAGCTTTTGCTGGCATATTGCACTTTTAGGAGAGAGAGTTTTATACAATACTATTTAAAGGTTGATTCCTACCATTGAAATACCCAATAGAAACAAAAAAAAAAAAAATTAGCTTATAATTTCCCTAAGAGATTATGATGGTAGGATGAAGAATACATTTGGGGCCCATATGCCATGCCGGCCAGGCATGATCCAGGCCCGAAACTATACACAGACATACGCCTGGCGCAAGTACAGTTCAAATCCATGATGATGACGCTCTGCCCAATTTGACTTCAAGAACTGAGCCTGGGCCAAGCCCGCCCTTATATAAATATAATACGCTTCTACTTCGGTCACTTTTTAGGTGGATCTTTGGTGAAAGGTCCCATTGGATACATAGGGCTGCCCATTCCTAATGAGTAGGGTTGTGAGTCCACTTATATATGAGTCGTGTTCTTTAAGGATTCAGGCCTCTAGGCATATCTCAAATCATTATAAATTTATGGGTGCGGTTTGTATAAGGCCGACGCCCTAAATAATGAAAGTAAGGCACACTTTTATATATTTATCGAAAGATGATGTTTCAATATCGGAAATATGTGTGGTGGCTTGAAGATTCATTTTCATTTTTAATTATAAAATTTAAAACTTAAAAAATAATGTAGATCAAGCAGATCTATGAACACTTGAAAATCGTGAAAATTGACAGTCTGAAACTGTATTACAAGATGCACTATTATTTTCAAAACTCGAAATTCAGTTTTTCTCATGTTCATACATCTTGAGGTCGAGATGATCAATTTGAGCAATTTTTGGCATCAAAACAATCTCTTTTCTAGTGAAAATTTTGAGGTGCGTCTTAATTTGATTGTTTTGAGTCTCACCCGTATATAAACTTTTTTTTAAGTATATTTTCATCTTACCTTCATGAACTTGATATCTACAAATAATATAAAATTGGTAAATAGATAGATTATTTTTAAATTCATGATCGTGACGGTCTAGTATATTAACAGACTAAAGCATCTAACTCCATCCCCATGGTAAATCCTAGGAAAGAGGTCTAATTGCAAAGTGGTGTAATAGAGAATGTGTGCCTTGAATGTTGCGGTCATTTTGGTTGGAGGTGATTGATTTGGCTAGCTTATTGATTATCTCCTGCAATCACATTAATAGATAAGCTAATGAGGTTGCTGATCTATTGGCTAAGAGTGGTGTTTCTTTTCTGATGATTAGAATTTCTAATACTATGAATGATTTTTTACAATTCCTTTGATTAAGAAATAAAAAGTAATCAACTTTAGTAAAAATAAAATAAAAAATAAAAAATATGTAATATAATATAATAATAATAATAATCCCCATATGATCCTAAACCCTCCCCAACATGTACACACATGTCATGAATTTTTAGACTATTTTCAAGGGATAGCAATGTACACCTCACTTTATGTGACATTTTGGCCATATATGACAGGTCTAATAGGAAACAACAGGTACCAAAAAGTGTATCCTCACCTAAAACGTATCCTTGTGAGGATCATGGTCCTCCCACGCCAAAAGCGTGCACCTGCATAGCACAATAAATTGAGAAAGGTGCCGCTTTCCTTGACCCTCTTTCCTTATTGTTTCTCATGTATTGCCTGTCGGCGCTCCTCAC